AGGGACGAGGTAGCAGCAGCAGTTCAGGCTGTTGGAGCACCAGGGTACCTCCCTGGGCAAACCATGGGGGCCCAAGGGGTGGTGGAGGCTGCTGGAGAGGCAGAACCTCAGCCCCAGCTCTCATATTATATCAAAAAGAAAATGTCAGTGTCAAGCAAGGCAAGACGATTTCCTAATTGACATAAAAGTCAAAATTAGGGAGGATCAAGAGCCCTCTGGAGACTCATCTGCTTCAGGTAAGGGCAAAAGCCATGTAATGGAGCTGGATCTGCCCCACTCTGGTGCTCTAACAGCTACCAGTAACTTCACAAAACCAGCAGAGGAAACAGCTAAAAAACACACATCAGTGTTACGTACCTCTGGGAACTGGTGTAACTGCAAACTATGCACAGCATGGGCATTACTAAAACTGCCCAAGCCACTCACTGCACCATCGGCATCCACAGAGTTCAGTGGCAGTGGGTTGCAGGAGAAGAAAATGTTTAACCCTAGGGAAGATGTTGCACAGACTGTGACTGTAAACCATTTTTGGGTGCATTACACTTGGAAAGCCCCACAGATCCACATTCCCCTCAACAGCCCATCTCTGGAGAGGTTTTCTCAGGGAGAGGGGTGGTGGGTTTTGCCTGAATCTGCCTTACTGACCAAAACTCCTGCAGAAGCAAGGAGCAGATCACAAAAGCCTTCAGAGAAAACACCTCACTTGTTCCTGTGAGTTTGCAGCGGTCAGCATGGAAGTTGGAAAAGGCTTCAAAAACATTTTCTCTCTGCAGCCACGCTGAGTCTAACTCAGTGAAGATCACTTGTGAAACAGCACATGCAGTTTATCTCTGTGGCCAGTATGGAGGAGTTATCACTGCAAACAGGATTATTTCTAAGTGAAGGAACTGTAAATGTTTAATTACAGATACAATCCTTTCTGGGTCACAGTAGGCTTTTTTTTTTTGTAATTTTATTTTGTAGCCTCCTGAAGTGGTGGCCTGCAGTTTTACATAATTATCTCACTAATAACCAATTTCCCAACATCGATATGAATAACATAATAATAAGAGTCCCCTGCCTCACAGAGCAGAGTTTTTGCTTGCAAAGAAGGTGGGAAGCAGCTTTCATCCAGCAGTTACTGCATTTTAGCCGATATTTCATTATCTGACATACAGACCCATGTGCTTCATTTTGTCTCAAAACGTTGATTACCAGACAGAGGCATATCCTGCTGCTAGAGACCAACAGGGGACTGGTAATCACAGCTGTGCTTGAACTCAGCTTGCAAAGGCTGGAAGGGTAGTGCTGGGTGTGCAGACACACAGCACAGAGGTAGAGAGGGGGTCAGATTTTGTTCTCTCTGTCAGCACTCCTGCAACGCACGCTGGCCCAGCAACTAAAAGCAAAACCAAATCTTCTGGGTTAGCCCTTTTTAAATCTCCAGATCAGTAGGATCTCTTTTTCCAGTATGAAGCACTTTCAGTGTTTTTTTCCAGTATGAAGTTAATTCACTGCTGTTTTGATGTCCTGTTATTTTAGATTCAGTTCACACATTTGGATGACTGTATTTGAGCATTTGGAGACCAAGAATGGAGAATCAGAACCAGTTCCTCTGTTGCTTTTTACTTTTGAGCCCAAAATTTCTGCCTGTTGATAATGATTTTGTGGACCAGCTATTCTGCGCTGAAGGCAGAGGAGAATGATGAGCAGCAAAGATTTCTGCAGATGGGATCTGGTTTAAAAGATTGGAAATAAAAGAGAAAAGTCCAAACTCTTATTAATTTGGATTAAAAACAGTGTGTAGCATCAAACCACCAGAGCAGTGATGGGTAGGAACCAGGTGAACTCTATTAGAAAGCAAGAAAGGGAATCTTTCTAATAGCTGCCAAGAAACATGCTTGTTTCAGCTTTTGCATGAAATGATAGATGAGGGCTTTGAAGCTCAAATCTCTTTGGTTTTATTCCCCTTCCCTTTGGGACATGGGTGCTGTGAATGTCCATTACTCACGTTGGAAACATTTGCCACAGGAAGCTCTTGGAACGGAGTTTGGAAAGCCATGAAAGCCCTAACGGCAGCTGAAAACATCAGTGCTGTCCCAGCACTTGCTGAATCAAATTATTAAGTGCCAAGATAAATTAACATTTGTCTCTGAGTCATTTCCAATTTTACAGAGTCCAGTGTTTTCCAACTCCCTTCCTACCAAGAAAATCCTCTCTCCTTGAAAAAGAAACTCCCATTTTGGTGGCAGCCGCTTCCAAAATCTGGAACTGTGTTTTCAGAAGTCTTACTTCACTCTCCAGTAAATCCCTTTCCATCTCTCCTTGCCCAGTGAAATAATCTGAATATTTGCATTTTTAAAAAATCAGTATTTTCAGTAGCCATAAAGCATAGGCTAACAAGTCTTTTCTTCAAGTTTATTTAGTTCATTAATCTGAGAAAGGCTCAAGAGCTAATCTATTAAGTGTTATTGAATGATCCTGAACATCTGGCTTGACAGTCCAAGATTTCACTGAAATTTAATTAAGATTCCTGCCATTAAAGCTTCAAAATAAGGGAGACAAAGACAACAGAAACATGAAGCAGGGAGACAAAGCTCTGTCTGCCATGACCATGGGCTGAGACAATCAGGAGCTGCCCTGTTCCTAGGGCTGTTGCTGAGGCGATTGGGGTGCTGCAGGCAGGGAGTCACATTTAGCAACAGGGAAAACACTGAGCCCGCAGCAGCTGAGGTCTCTGCTCCTAAGCCATGCTTGGTGGAGAAGGAGGAAAAGGGAAGACCTGCTTTTCCCTCCCGGTAGTGCCAAGCACTGCTTCTGCATTGGCTCAGATTGGACACTGTGTGTATGTGGGGGCTGACACCGCCTTTCTAGGGGACAGGAACTGTCCCACAGTCCTCTCTGTGGGCTGTTAAATAGGAAATTACCAAATTAGCTGGGTACAGGCCATTGCTGATGCCCTTTGAACACATGCCACCAGCAGATATACCCCGACGAAGCACTGCTCACCCTTCACTGGATCTCCAGCCCTCAACTCCTCCCGTGATGGGACTTGCGCTGCTGTCTCCCACAGAAGGGACCTGAATATAAAACAGACGGTGCTTTCTCACCATCACTCAAGTGCTTTCTCACCATGATTCTGTGTGATCAATTACGCATCCCTTCCAGCATCTGCAAGGGTCTGAACAGCCTCCACATCACAGATCTCCCTTCTGGGCTCATCTTCCATTTAGACAGGAGAGCCACAGCCCCCTTCAAAATCCTTGCTGCTTGACACTTATTTTCCTTACTTGGGGTCAAAAAGAGAGTTTTCTCCGATTTCACAAGGATTGAGAGTAGGCTTTGTTTCTTCAAAGTCTCCATACCTCATCCCCATCTCAGTAACATGCCAGGAAGTGAAAACATACAATGGCTGCCCCTTGCAGCTGCAAGCAATGAAGCTGGGGCATTTTAGCAGATGTAACTCATTTCCCTTGTTTAACAGTGCCTGTGGTGTTACACTTTGCTGCCCTAACATGCTGGTATGCTTAAGGCTTTTTACATTACTGAGTAACTTAGCACCTCATTTCACTGGTGGGTGTTGGCTTTCTGGTTGGTCACATTCTGGTTTGTTCCCAGAATCTCTTTTTGGGTGCACTGTTTCCCCCCTCAAAATAAGGCCTGGGTGCTATTTGTTGTCCATTAGCTTCAGAGACTACCTTCTAGATGCACGAAACCTTGACCACCATCCCAACAGGCCCCTGGTGCTCCCAGTTCCCTCACATCCTATTCTTGGACATGCTACCTCAGCCTCATGCTCTAAAAGGATCCACTGTAGCACCCTGCACCACAGCCTTCACATTTCACCAGGCAGCTGAACAGAAAGAAAAAGAAAAGTGAAAAAAGTGGGATAATTTAGGGCCACAGAGCTCACCAGAGGTCACAGAGGAGCCCCAGCCAAATGCTAATCAGGGCAGTTAGCCTGAAACAACTTGAATATGAGGCAGTTCATCATGTTCAGGGCCAGGGATTGTTCCCCAGGGCTAATGCCTCCAGTAATGTTGTAGTTGTAGCCATGTACTGGTGAAGCATTTCTCACAGACCCCAGAGCTACTTGCTTTTGGGAAGATTGGGTGTGCATGTGGATGTGGATGTATGTGCAGAACTGCGTTCTGCAGTTGTGGCTTTCTAGAGGATACTAGTGGGTGGTTCAAAAAATATAACAGGGATATTATTATACATATATAATTTGATTCTTTCAGTCTGAAATAAGCTGCCAGTAAATGTATATTTACTTGGCAGTGAAGATACAAAACTTGGTTTGGCAGTTGCATTTAGCAAAACACTGTGAGCTCCAGGGAAAAAACATCAACTGGCTGAGTAGGTTGAGCTAATGTTGAGAAATGGGGTTCTGTGAATCTGAATTCAACCCAGTTTTAAAGAGCTACTTACCCAGTCTCCTTCTACCATTGGCCAACTGACAGAAATTCAATATTTTTCTTCTAGTGAATGAAAAGCATAGTCAGAAACAGCCATCGGGTTGGGATCATATGCAAAAGCTCCTCTTGTGCTTTTGTTTCCTAATTGCTCTTGGAAGGATTTTTCGGACTGGGCTGACGCAGTTGTGTGTGTGAATTTCCTGGCAAATAAGGAAGGTGGCTGTGTCCAAAAGACATTTTAGAGTGTGAATTCACAGCCTTTCCATGTCTAATCAAGGAGCATAAACCATTAGCCACATGTTCTCAATTTCCATCACATTCTTTCACACTTAAACAAAAACATGCCAAAGAAAAGGTGCTACATTTTTTAATGCCCCCAAATAGGAACCACGGGAGTCTGTTAAATGCTGTGGCCATTTCCAGCATACAAATCAATTTTCCTTGCGGTGGTGAAGTGGTGAATAATGCCTGGTTTGTTTAAAGGAGCATGACTGAATTTGGATGAAGGATCCTGTCACTTTGGCATTTTTAGTTTTATTTATTGCATGCAACCGTATAAAACCTGGTACTGGTCTCAGTGCCAGGCTTACTAGTGGAAAAGCTGAAAGGACCACATAACTCCTGGTGCAGCAAAGGGGATCTCCTTCTGCAAGGCATTTTCTGGACTCCTGAAAAATTATTTTTAATAATATGGCAGAGAAGGATATCATCAGCTGGCATCTACTGGCTTTATTTTTTCTTCCATTTTGCCTGTGTCAAGATGAATACATGGAGGTGAGCAGAAGATCTTATAAACCAGTGGCCAAAGTATTGCAAAGTCACCACCAGACTGGCCATAAAGGTTCCAGAAGCAGGGAAATATTGAAACAGCGGAGTCAACTTATAGAGTGGACTGTTGATAATAGCACTTCTACAGACCAAAAAGTCCTGAGACCAGAGGTAGATGATGTAGAACTGACTACCTCAGACAGAGTCCAGGTACTCTGAATTAATCTTCTAAAGATATCTTTAATGCTAATGAGATTTTTTTTTGTTAAGATTACTAGTGATATATCAATGAAATTACTTTTATTAAGGCTGTGTATTGGTCTGTATCCTGCTGGGTTGTTTTATAGAAACTTTTAATGAACTGGTAGAACCAGCAGTGGTTGGGGACACTGGTTTCAATGTAGACAGCAGTCCTTTGTTCTGCTGAAACTATGATCCTGTGTAATCATACATTCAGATACACAGTCTTTCGATTTTTCAAGGTATTACTAATTTAATATATTAAAGTTTTAGATTCTGCTTACTCATTTGAATGTCATCTGAAAATGACAGAATTTATAGAGGTATTTGGAAAGATTCAATTAGCAGAGAATAACTTTACTTGAAAGTCATGTATATAAAGTATATTCTTTCGAGTTTGAGAAAAAATATAATGAAATTCTGAGTGTTCAAAATTTTATTCTAAGGAATAGCTTGGTGAAAACAGATGTAATGAATAGATTTAATAATATATGTCAACCTGACAGTTTCAGTGGAAAAAAGATTCGGAATGAAATTCTAGATCATCTGTAGTATGTGCTTTTTAAACTGGGAATATTTTCATGCCTTTTACATGGCATTTAAAATACTATAGTCATAAGCTCACAGCAAAGGGAAAATGGCATAATTTGATTATACATAAAATAATGCAATCCAAATTTAAAAGGCAAAATCTGAAGGGCAGAAAGTTAAGCATTTTCTAGCACTAGGCAAAATTAAATACCACTGAAATGAAGTTTTTGATAATTGAAGTTTTTAGAAACAACAAGAACACGAGTGTTTTGTTTCTATTGCTGATAGAAATATTTGTGTCTGCTATAGTTCAACTTTTATCATCTGTGTTTTAAAACACTTTCAGATCAAACTATGATATTTTGAATTCCAAAAATCATGGACATGCAGCCAAGTGTAGAATGATAACCTACTTCATGATAAGCAGAGAGTAGATTTTATTTTAATCCTGTCCTGAGCTTAAAGAATTGAAACACATTCAAGTATGGAAATAGGTTTAATACACCGCTACATTGCCTGTATTTAAATTGTATAGTGCTTTGCATTTCGTATTTCTTGGGCAGGAGTTATATGCTCCTCCGGTACACTCAGCAAAATAGGTATTTAGCTGTAGGTATGCACTTGCAGTATAAAAAGAGTGTAAACCATCAGGTATATAGGTCAATGAGTCAGCTAGCGCGTGTGTACTGCAGAGATTGTGCAGCTGCATAATACAGACCACGTATTATTGGTACTTAAAGAAGATTTCCCTTTTACTCAACACAATTTCAGATAATGCAGGATTTAATACAAAATCATGACTTTTTTCAAGGTCAAACTCTACCTCACAGAACGTGTCATTGTGTTTGGGGTGCATGTCTCTCTCATCAGAGAGTTTAAATGCAACATATTTGGAGTTCCCTGCTGGGGTAAGAGGCTGTGACATGAAAACTGAGCCTGGCGAGTCTGAGTACAGTTGATGGCAGTCATTTACCTGCCAGACCCTCTCAAAGAAGCAAGATTTGCTGGGGAAATGATGCAATTTTTGGCTTACTAAGATGAAATGGAGCACTAGCAGATGCACGACAGGGATAATCCATCACAGAGCAGCTGACGCAATAGGTATTTTCCATCTCCAGACTCCAGGGATTTCCAGGCAAAGGAGGAACAAAGGTGCCACGGATATGCTTTAACTCATGTCAAACTTTTCTCTTCCCCTTGAGTTATTTGAAAGCTGTTTCACCCCAAAGTCCCAACTTTCTTGGTTATCTTAGCTCTGGCTGGAGATTTTCACCAGCCTGCTTAAATGTTTTAAAGGTCCCATTCCCTTTTGTGGAATAGAGACGATAGCATTTGTCTTTGCTGCACTGGGTACAAGGCCAGTTTCCACACTGCAGGTAACTTACATATAATGTAATGTGCATTTCTCAAGCACAAGAACTCATAGTGACTGGGGACAGCCATGCCAGACACATTCTGCCTTTTCAAGTTGCTCTTTGAAAAGCTTCAGGTGCCCCTCAACCTACTGGTGTTTCACCCTGAATTTTGACAATTATGGTTTGTTTAATTCTTTGCTGGAGAAGGGGCATGTAGGGCCTTAGTGCCCACAGAGACACATTATTTTGCATTCAGAACAAGAGCCAAGAATGGTGGATGTATGTTACTTGCCTTCTGCATTGTCTTAGATAATATAACAGAAACCCGTAAAATTAATCGGGAATTTAAAAAAGGTTAGGTCTCAAATTGTGATTCATTTACAGCTGTAAGTTAAGGGAAATTTATAGATCAACTGTTGCCTAGAACTGTCTCCTACATACTAAATCATAGGGAATTCAGCAAGTAGCCATAGAAATATTTCCAGTTAACTATTTGTATTAGGAAATCAACGTGGCAGATGTATTTCACAAGCTCCTAAATCATATTCATGTTCTGAGAACAACGCCAAAGATGCATTGTGCAATAAGATTTATGTGCAAATGTCTGCATAGGACAACTTTGGCAAATAGATTGTAATTAATCTCTTTGTCCCATTTGTAATTTTACTTTAGGAACACGTTTTTCCTTTAAATGTACTTTTCATGAAGTTCTCTTGTTTTAGAGATTAAAAGGGTATCATGAATAGTCATTGTTCTTGGCAGCAGACTGTGAACATTTTTCTTCTCCTAGTCAAAGGATCAGTAAGGATAATAAGTCAACAGTACTTTATGACTTGTATAAGTAGTTATTCTGAAGTCAGTGGAACTGTTCTCATACAACCAGGCTGGCAGGACTCACCTCATTGCACATGTAATAACCTGCTGAGCTTTTCAAGAGGCAATGCCAAATAACATCTGGTTATGACCAGCACTAGTATCTATTTTATGATAATATAGCCGGTTAGCTAATAATGCTGTTCAGGTTTTCAGTGCATTGGGTGAAAACCTAGTCATTCTTGCACAGAGTCTCACATGCGGTCCAGTTTGCTGGATTCATGCCTTCCTTTACCTATAATCCACAATAGATATATCTTTATTCAGATAGTTCTAGGCTGATATGACTTATATGCTCTTGGCAGATGCATATATAGTTTGTCTTCTCATTTAACATGAATATGAAGCACTATCAGAAAAGAACTGGAGATTTTAATCTCAGTGCAACACTCAACATTAGCATTTCAGGTGGTGCAAAATGCTTGCACAATCCCAGTCCTCTTGTACTTGGCTCCTCTCCAAGGACTGAAAATGAACCAAAAGCAGGAGTCCTTCTTCTCTCATATGAGGAAAGCTCTAAACAGTATGCCTGATGTTTGCCAGTTATGTTCTTCCTTACAACTGGGAGAGACAGAACAGCAAGAAAGGTACAAACAGGTTGTCTGGGAACCCACAGTTCAACAGGCAGAACTCATTTTTCTCATAAAATAGAAACCACATCCAGAACTAAGGTAAAAAGCATAGTAATAAGAAGCTAAAAGTCAGCTCATAGTAATAAGAAGCTAAAATATGAAGCAAAATATGAAGTCCTTCTGCCCGCTGGCAAGTCGTAACATTTCCATAACTCTTTGAATATGATGCACATTTGTTGAGCTGTCAGGTCAGCCTTTATTCCCATGGTAGCTCCACCATCAATGGTTCCAGGTGGAGAGGGCATGTGTCTGTCTCATTGGAGGAGCTGGAGTATTTCGGTGGCATGAAAGAGGTTTTCTGTGTCCATGAACATAAACTTCCAGGCCTCTTGAAATTAAGGAATTCTGGGGGTGTGCTTGGTTGTTCAAAACACAGGCGAAAGGCTTTAGTGTTTCAGATCAAGCTAGCTGATGACCTTGAGGGCAGAAATACAGCACATCTATATGTTCATTTGGCACTGGAGGTTCGTTTGCTGCCGTTAAACTAATATGTCTGTATTAGGCAAGTAATTTTAGGATGATAAAGATGAGTGGAAAGAAAGGGAAGGACAACAAATAGTACAAAGATTAAAATAGTAGTCAGATTGGTGTAGCTATACTCCTCCGGAACTTAAGAACTGCAGATCTGCACCTCAGGATAATAGCATAGAATTGTAGGGCAAAAGAGACAAAGAGGGATAAAGGAGAAGGAGGCAGAGAAATAAAACCAAACCCTTGACTTCCACCTCAGCTGACCTATTGGAAGATTTGTGACTGCTAAATCATAGTAAGAGCCTAGCTACAAAATCCAGCCAGGATTCATTAAGAGTCCTTTAGTATAAACACAATAATATGAGAAAAAGAAGCACTGGAACAAAACTATTATCAAACTATTATTACAGTAGCTGATCTGTGTACAACAAACTCATTACTTTATGCTGCTGTATAAACAGGTTTTCATAGTTATGCATCCCCACCTACAAATAATTAAATGTCCCTATCACCAGGTGTTGTGGTCAGTTCAAATTTTTGTCACGTATCTTGGCACATTTTTTAGGTTGTCCCAAATTTGACAGCCTGTAAATATGCAAGTCTGGGGCCATGAACAGGAATATGCTGCAGAGACATTTTTTAACATCTCCTTTGGGTAGTCCAACACAGTTTTCTTTATGTTTTGTGGAGCACAGTTCATTGCTGAAGGTCAAATGAAGTCCCTTGTGTCCTACCACACTATGTTGTTGTGCATTGGCTTGTTTGTCAACAAGGGTCAGCTGAAATGTGGGATCAATGAAAAGCAGGATAGGAATCTAACTGAAATTTTCATCTAACTTTCATTACTTGGTATTATTTTATTTTCAAAACCCTCATTATTTGAAAGGACAAGTTTTTTTTTTAATACTCATATAGTTCTTAGAACACTTGAAAAGCTATTCCCTTAAATCTTCCAAAAATAACATCTTCAGGGACAACCCAAGTATGGGAGATTTCAGCCCAGATAAGAAAAGTTTTGAAAACTTAGCAAATATATAAACAGAGAATATAATGAAGACCCTGTAACCAACATGCATACGATTGATGCCCTCCATGAATGAACTATTTAAAGCTTATTTTTTTGTGCACTTAGCCCCCCCAGCCTGGACCGCAGAATCCAGACTGTAGTTCCTGCTGCCGTGGTGACTTCGGAGTTCGACTCTATCAAGGGCCCCCAGGACCTCCTGGGCCCCCTGGGATGCCAGGTAAAGATGACGTTTAATTGATTGCTTGATCAGTGTAATTACAGGGTATAAATTACAGGCTATTCTATGAAATATCAGTATTTGGGGACAGATTTAGAAAGATATTTTTCTATAATTTCTGAGAAGACAGAGATTTTCAGTTAAACTCTAAACTCTTTTTTCCTGTGAAAACTTATTTGTTATTAAAATCCAGCATTCACAAATTCATACTAAAAATAATGAAAAACATTTCTAGGACAAATTGGTCTCTCTTCTTAAAACAGCATGAAGCTTCCATTAAAGTTGGAAGAACTTGTTCCCTGGAGTTGATTACTGCGATCACCTTTGAATATCCAGCTATGCTATTGTGTACTACATTCAGGAGCTTTTTTTCATCTAGCTTACTGCTAGCCAATAGTTTACAGGGACACACATTCTTCTATTCTTCCATAGAAATTTCTTCTTGTCCTTCTTTTTTCTTGTCTTGTGTAAGAAAAGTGCCTTTTTTCCCCATTAAAAATGCACACAAAAGAACAGGATACACAAGAAAAGGGTACACTTTGATCTGATAATTGGCATGGAAAAAGAAGAGCCTAGAGAAGGGAGAAAGATAGCTGCCTCTTGGTGTAAGTTTGTTACAGTAGCTACCTTCAGGGATTTGAAAATCACTGTTCCTAAAGCAGACATATAATGTAAATGAACTTGTCACTGACTGTCTGATTTGTCTCATCTTCAAAAGCTTGCATGTTCTGTTATCGCAGGAAAAATGCAATTTCATAATCCTTCTGTGTCACAAATGTACTGACAGTAACAGACATGACAGATAACCATATACAAAAGGATTAATGTAGTGATTTTTCGTAGAAACAGTTTACATTAACAGTTAAATCTGACTGCTATGAAGTTAAATCTTAGTGAATGAAGTGTTTCAAAAACTATCTTCAGTTGGCAAAATACTGAAAGAAATTGTTATTTTGACATATATAGGCTATTAGGCAAAGTAAGGTCATAGGCATATTTAATAGCCTGCTATAAGCTATTCATGCATCAACCCTTTATAAAAACTACATTACAGAAGAAAGAGAAATCTAATGGTAAGGCCTCTTGTATTGTATTATATATTAATAAATTGTTGACTTCTTAGAAGAGGGACACGATTTTGTATTACACCCACACTTTCAAGGCTGCAGTGGACATAATGGGACACAGCCCAGTCCCAGATTTGCTCCTTCCTCATGCGAGGATGTATCTCAGTCACACTTTCTTGTCATCACAGGATGCCACAAACGTACAGCCAAGAGCAACCTTCTGCACCCTCGAATTTCTCCGTCTCCCTCAGCTGCTGCATTTCATATCACTGTGCTCATAAGGGAAACAACAACGGCTGCTTTTCCCTTGATTGAATCAAATGTTGCTTGCAAGCTTCTGTTCTGAAGTAGTTCTGGCTTAACATGAAGGAGTATTCTTGTTATTTTTAAAAGTTATTGTTTTCTCTATCAAACAAAATTTGCTTTCTTTCTTCCACCATTTAGCTTCCTTGTTTGAAGTAATTTTTCTTCTCAGTACAAAAACCCTGAAGAATCACTTAATCGTTAGATTTGAACTCAAACACCACCATTCCTCTTGTAAATTAGTAACCAGAGTGTCTAATCAGAGAACAAGCAAATACGCAAAGAATCTAATTTCAATTCAGGTAGAATTAGAACAATGACAACACTAAGCAATTAATTGAAAGGTCAGACTTTTGTTTCAGGTAGGCCTAATACTTTCTCAGTGATTCCATCCAACTTTAAAATTTTGCCAGTCGCATAAATGTTTGCTCAGTAATTTCCTCAGTAAACATCAGGAATACTGCAGATGCAGGAATATGCTCTATAATGACCCATTTTACAAGAAGCCATCTCAGAGAAGCTTCATTATAAAAGTTTTGTCTTTCTTTAAATCTAGGAACATGCAATCAGTCAACCTCTTCAAGCTAACTAGCACTCTGAGAATGCACACTCTCCTGTTTTTGTTGGGTCATTTAGCTATTTTAAGACTGTGGCCATTTTTCATTTATATAGACATGCTTTAAAGATAGCAAAATGTTATTAAAAATTATCTTATCCTATCCTAACTGACTTAAATTATCAGGAAATAAGTTTTTACACAAAAGCAAGAGTGCTTATGCAGGCTATCTAGTACGTGTCAATAGGTAGTGGCTTTTGATTTCCTTGAGCCTCATGTCTGCTGAGGTCTTGTCCTGGCACATCTTCCCAACAATGCAATGTCTTGAGGGATCGGCAGTTTATATAGCAGCACCAATACAGCACAAGGATTAACTCTTAAACATCAATCTACTTCCTTCTGGACTTGCTTCACCTTCAGCTTAACCACACAGGTGTTTCTTATCCATCACAGTTCAATCTGGGTTTTATGGTATTGAAAAGTCAATGTGTTGAAACTGCTGGAAGAAGCCTCTGTCACTCACAGTTATCTGTTAAAATATATTATATGGAATTACTTAAGTTAAATGAGAAGTTCTGTTTCCTTTAAGGAAATCATGGAAACAATGGCAATAATGGAGCAACTGGCCAGGAAGGAGCCAAAGGTGAGAAAGGAGACAAAGGAGATATGGGACCGAGGGGAGAGCGTGGCCATCACGGACCCAAAGGCGAGAAGGGTTACCCTGGGATTCCCCCAGAGCTACAGGTACAAAATCTCTGGCTTTTGTTGGCTGCAGCAGTTCTCAGGTTATGGTTATTTTCTCGGAAAAGCAGCATGTAACTACTGTAAGATACTTAAGAAGAAAAATCTCTCTATAACAATACATTGAGAGACACATACAGCCCTTGTCATGACTGACAAATGTGGTCAGTCAGATCTTCCAGGAAAAGTAAGACAGTAGGCCTTATTCTTTCTTTAAGAATCTAGCTGAGAACTGGGCAGGAAGAAACATATATGGTTCCCTTTTAGGGCAGAAAGCCAGTATCTAGGTCATTAAAGGGGAATAACGAGGACTATTATTTTTCTATCAAGCTGTATCACATACATAACTGTGCTTCCTATGGCGTACAAGAACAAAGGAGTCACTCAGGCCCATGCTCCTCAGGTCAGTCAGGCTTTGTGAGATTCTCAGAAGCAAATACATTCATTTCAATGCATGGGGTCAAAACCTCTGAGTGCAGTTCTCTGAGAAGTCCTCTGGTTTTCAAACAAACTCCTCAGTAGTGATCTGTGTTTTCCTGTGTCTAGATACGTTAAATATGTTAAGAAGCATATAGGTTCTTTCTATGAATGAACTACACAAAAGCCAGGTGAGCATTAAAACATGGGTTCAAGCCTGAGCTGATAAGCTCTGCTGAGGTATGGGATATATTTTTTTGGCTCAACATTGTTTGTATAGTCCTATAGCTTTTGCATTAGAGCTTCTTTGTGTTCCAGGAATCTGGCATACGGTGGAGACCTTATGTATATGTATATACATATGCAGTGTAGCAGAGATGTGGTGCAGTTCTGCTCTTGAGGCAAGTGAAAGTAGATGGGACTTGGATAACTAAGACCCTTGATTGCTGCAAAGGGGATTTAAAAGAGCTGTCCACACTACATACTGCAGTGTAGCAATATACGAGCAGTTCATCTGCAATAGTAGGAAGACTTGACTGTTTCTATGATGTAGCACAGTCAAAGGGCTAAAGGCAAGATTTAGCTGCATGGCCTTTGAGATGTATCCCTCCTGGTCTCCAGCTGTCACTGTGGAGGGGGCTTCTATAGGTCAGATCAGCCAGCACCCTGTGGGGGGATCTTAAAGCACATTGCGTGCCACTGGGCTCATTTGTGTCGGCAAGTGATTGCAGTCAGATTCAGCTCCAGAGACCCTACACGTGAACAAAGCATCTAGCCTCCTATTACAATTACTGAGGATCTAGAAGAGCAACTCAGCTTAATCTGACAGACACTGCTGCTTTTGGGCCAATGGTACTTCAGATACCACGAAATATATATATCTCCAGAAACTATAAGGTAGTTTACATCCTCACTCACACGTATGCTTTCAATGGAAGTGTCTTAATCTTGATCTGATTTGTACCCTACGAACAAGTTCACCACAGAAAGAACAAAATGGGATATAGCAAACATGGACAAAAAGAAATCCCACATCCAAACACTCAGACTATAGGGAAAACTGAAGTTCTGATCTCTTTACAGATCTACACCTTTTCACTGAAGGATACTGTTTCCCAACAACATTCATATGTGTTTTATATCCTCATAAAAGGCATGCAAATTAACAGCAAAATCAACAGTACAACCAGCATGTGCAGTGTGGGAAAACGGCTTTGGATTTCTTGGCACTGTGTGTGTTTGAATTCTCTGCCCTAAGTTGCATGAAGATGGAATAATTACAGAGAATAAAATTCACAGTGAAAATAGTTTCCAAAATTACTAGAGTTTTGTAATAAAGCAGAATTATATTCATATTCTTAAAAAAAATAACTAGAATTAACACCAAAGCTGAATATCTTAAAAATATATTTGCTGTAATTACATTCAATGTAAATCCTTTAGTTATTTTAAAATGAGCTGTCAGCATTTTTTTTTCTTACATAAAGATAGTGGTAGTAATTTAATTAAAAACTGAATAATGAAAGAGGATGGATAACAAAAGCTCATACTGCAATACCTATTTCCCAGTAAAATTCCAACACTGTTTTTAACACACATTTAAGAATTCTTTTATACACAGTACAGTGTATCATTTTTTGTCAACATCATGTTTAAGAATTTTAGAGCAGGGGTAGGTAAACGAGAAAATACTTCTGAATACAACATTGTTTTAAGTACAGAACTATTTTGGAAGGCTTGGTGTGTCCATGTTGATCTGCTACTTCCAAATGAAACCTAGGGAGAAAGGACAACTTTTTCAACTCTTCTCATCAGCCCAAGAAAAGTAGCTTGGGGTCAAAGAGAATGTGAAATGGAATCTAGACAAAAAACCAATAAATTCCACCAAGCTGCCATTGCAGCTGCTTTCCTTTAACACATGATCAACTTTGATGTGATTCTGGCTGAGAAGTAAGAAGTTAACAATTTGCCATCATAAAAAATGCATCCATGCAGGAATAAGGAAAATCAGCCCAAGCTTTCAGCTCACATCTGGAGCTCCTCAAATTTCTGAGCAGATGGCTAACGATTTCCATTGTCGGATCACGACTTGCATTTTATTTTGCCTGTTCTGGTTTCATTCTCATTTGGATCTGAAATCAAAAGAAGGTTTTTTTTTAATATATCAGTATAGCTGAAATCTCATTAAAACTGTCATTTTTGTGAGGGGCAGTAACAACTGTAATTAAACACTTCTCATCTAAGAAATTTAGAGATACAGATAAAATACGAAGTCACTACGTGACCTTCTGGCATCCAGGTGCAGCAATGCTGCCTGTACCCCATTTCCTGCCAGTCATATGGAGGGATCACAGGCTCACAGAAGAGATAACCTCCTTCCCATGCAAGTTGGCAAGGTTGTGCCCTGGCATCTTGCTGAGTGTAATTTGAACTGTCCAGCATGGGAGGCTTTGCACTGCTTCCTACGAAACATTTTCCATGGTCAATACCTCTCACGGCAATAAGTGTAACATGAAGTTGAAGCACAGATTTCCACTTTCTTAGTTTCTCTTTTGATCTTCACCAGCCTCTGTTGTCATGACAGAGTATGGGGCAACTAGTAAGAGAGGAAAAAGCACTCACTGTTGAGTCCCAGCAACTGCACTTCTAGGGGACCTCTAATAAAAATGCTGAATGTATCTCTGAAGGTAATTAGCAAGAAACACTAATGTATATGGATTTTACCAAGCATTATTTATTTCACACATTCAGTGAAAAGCAATATCCAGTTTAAATGCACTGGAGAATATATAAAGACTAATTAAATCACTTTTATCAGAAACACCATCCATTTCAATACCAGTTTTCTATTGCATCATTCTAGAGAGACTTAAAAGTAAATAAAATCCCAAACGAAGGTCCTAACCTGCAAACACTTGTTCATACACTTACCTTTACAGTCATGAATAGTCCAATTGAATGTAAGAAGCCTAGTTCTCTTCCAATTTCATTCAATGAGAGTTTTGTTACTGGGGTTTAATGACCTTGGAGCAGGCCCTAGAAGAACATCTCTGTCAGGAAAATAAACAGAATGCAAATACAAGGAAAAAAAGCATGCAGCTGATTCCTCTACACATGTGCATTTTGTGAACGACTGCCTGAATAAGAACTGCATTTTTGCAGGTTGCATTCATGGCTTCCATGGCTACTCACTTCAGCAACCAGAACAGTGGGATCATCTTCAGTAGTGTTGAAACCAACGTTGGGAATTTTTTTGATGTCATGACTGGGAGGTTCGGTGCTCCAGTGAATGGTGAGTGTTTGCAAAACAAAAGAATGCAATTCTGGGAGGTATACGGAGAAGCATGGTCAACAGTGACGAGAAACTAGTTAATTGCCCTTGCACAATGCACTGATGAAACTCACTCTGCACAGCTCTTGCTACCTACTTTCAGGAAAAATTAAATTGGAAACTGAGCAAGCCAAAAGAAGGCTTGCCAGCCAGTGAGGCTAGAGCTGGCACACAGGCAGGATGAAGAGGCATGGCCAGAGCTGGGGAGGGAGCAGGACCATCTGCTTTGAGACCTTTACCCTTCAGTCACAAAAGATGCGAGAGGGGCCATGACTGAGCCTCTGGGAAATTTTCCTTCTGGTGAGAAGGAAGGGACAAACAGGCCTACCATGTTCAAATACCATAATTTCTCTGGAACAGGATGTGGCTGCATCCCTACCACACAGAAAATAAAAATTAATCAGATTTTGGTACACTATATGCAGAAGTAAAATACCCACTGATAACTGGAAGGTAATTTTGGTCCCAGTTGTTTTTTTTTCTAAGCAAGAAGCACAAGTCTGTAGCATGACTACCTCTCTCTAGGAAGCAAACATGATGTATTTGGTGATATTTTCAGGGGTATATTTCTTCACCTTCAATATGATGAAACATGAAGACGTGGAGGAAGTGTACGTGTACTTGATGCATAACGGTAATACAGTTTTCAGCTTATATAGGTAAGTGAAGGGCCAGGCTTTTAATGCAAAAGACATGTTTACACCGATGTGATAGCTTGCTTGCATTTCAAGAAATATGAAATTGTTTCTTTTTTGAAGAAATTCTATTGTAAAATAACCAACGCAGAAAAACTACTGTATTTTGCCCTCCTCAACTTGCAAATTTGGATCATACCTGCCACAGATCCTGGACTAAAATGCAGCCTTGATCACAAGTTCCTCAAAGCTCAGGAGAAAGGAATTAGCACCGCAAATCAGGGTTGGAGTCCAGTGGTAACATTCTGTCATTCTGCTAAATCAATTCTTCATCCTCACTTTACCTGCCTGAGAAAGAGCATAATGAAGTGTTCAGCAACTAGAAACAGTCTTGTTAAAGATCAGGGGAGAGCAGTTTACTTTAAAAGTGGAGAGCATTTAAACTGCAGTAGCAAGGATGAGTAAGAAGCAAAGGTCCTTCATTTACTGGCTTTGTTATCATTAGTGAACTTTGAATAGCTAGAGGATCATCAAGAATAGGATCCACTTCTTGCTGTCGTGGTTTAACCCAGCAAGCAGCTAAAACCCACACAGTTTGTTCACGCGCATTCCCTCCTCACCGGTGGAATGGGAGAGAGAATTGGGAGACTAAAAGCAAAAAACACATCAGTTGAGATAAAGGCTATTTAATAGCTAAAACAAATCGAACTTTAATAATAATAATGTCAATTAATTGTAACAAGAATAGGAACAATGGTAATATAGCAAACAAACTTACACTCAGCTCACAAACAGCAGACACTGGCCATACACCAATGAAAACACAGCAGGAGGGGTAAGCCTCAGGAACTGGTATGGGCTGCCATCACGAAGAAGGGGAAGATTAAAGAAGGAGGAAGGTTTGAAGGGGTCATCCCCTGCAAGCTCCTAAATTAATAGTGAGTGTCACAATTATGGGATAGTTTACATCTTTACTGGTCAGCTTGGATCATACCTGGATCACCTGTCCTGGGTCACCTATCCTAGAGTGTCCCAGGCTCTCGCTTCCTCCCTACTTTCTCATGTGCAGAGGAAGAAAAAAAAAAACCCAAAAGACACTATAACCACAGGTGAAGCCTTGAAAAAAGTAAGTATCTACCAGCAAAAATGAAAACAAACAAAAAAATTATCAGCTTCATAAGGAAAACAACTCTCTCCCAGCCAAAGCTCCAATATCAGATTGTGTTCATTTAAACGGAACACTGTTGAAACAGGAAAAGGGAATTCTACAATTCAGTTCTAGCAAAACCAGGACTCTAGCTTATCAACTTCTGTAAGGACCAGGTCAAGCAGCTTGTAGGCAGATGGATATCTGACAAAATATGTTTCAAAAAACCATTATTTCTTTAATACCAACTAGAGGTTTGCTGCCAAAACCAACCTTCTCTCCTGTGTCTGAAAAAACAGGCACAAAAGTTTAGGCTGATAACATTGGGTTTTAGGCACTATTAGATAATAAATAGCAAGTTCATTTAAGCTGTCCAGGTTTCCTCTCCAGCAAAGGGCACTTCATTCCCAATAGATCTTTCCTGCAAAAGTGCCCAGGTTTTTTCCTCTGAAGCACTGAAGTCAGAAGAGGCTACAGGCGGAAAAAAGGCAACCAACACTTACACAAAGCCAGCAGGTTAGTTCACGTCAAATATACCCACGTTCCAATGAAACGCCTCAGGATGGAATGAGCTGCCTGTCCCTGCCCACTGACTGTGATGGGAGCACAAGGACTCAGCTCACATGAGACTCCTGACCTGGAGACATTTAAAATTAGCTGGGATGAATCCAAGGGAAAAAGAGCATCACAGGAAATCTGGACTGTTGTGGTGAATGAGCAGAGTTTTATTTTAAACAATAAATTCTTTCCTGTGCCCTGGAAATAAAAGGTAAGTTAAACTTCCAGAATTTCAGAAAGGAATTAAATGATGCAACTAGGTAAGGTGCAAAATTTGACTAGGAGATCAAATGCAGAAAGATGGCAGAATTTCCTCATAAAGCTGAAAAAATGTTGGCAAGTATTTCAAGGGAGTTTTGCCCAGGATAATAATGGACTGTCTTGGATTATTTTTTTTTTAAGTTGTTTGCTTGATCATTGTTGAGAAACAAAAAGCTGACTTGTTAAAATATTCATCCTTAGCTATGAATCAAAAGGGAAAGCAGACACTTCAGGAAACAGTGCGGTGCTAAAACTTGCCAAGGGAGATGAAGTTTGGCTGCGAATGGGAAATGGAGCCCTCCATGGGGACCATCAGCGCTTCTCCACCTTTGCTGGGTTTCTTCTTTTTGAAACAAAGTAAAAAAAGAAAAAACCTGATAGCTGTTTATCTGAGGAAACTTCTTTTTTTGGAACTGGTACATTTCTCTGGACTGTGGAATAGCATTACAACACTGAAAGATCAAGAAGGCTTGTTCTGATGCAATGCGTTGCTATTTGTGTGTCAGAGATGAGCTGAATATATCAGGTAGTTGACACACTTACAGATTCATGGAAGATGTCATCTGCGTTATACCTAGTGAATCGTTGACAGTTGCTATCGCTCTCTTCTCCAAAGTGACTGAAAAACAAAGGAAAATGAGTTTAAATAATTTAGAGAGCAGTTTGCACAGAAAAGTCTATTTTGTCTGTAAATATACTTAGGTATATGTCAGGAATAGAACAATTGATTCACTTTTTCTGTTAATTTTTTTTTAGTTCTTATTACATGTTCATTTAAGTTTGCATCATGGAAACAAGCCGGAATGAATTATTAGTAGGCTCAGCTGAGACCAGATTTAAAGGAAGAAGTTCTTACTGGACTAGAATGAACTTTACAAATAGACAACAAAAATGTGAAAATAGATGTCAAGGATTCAGGTTTATTGCATTCCCATCTCAAACCTCTGAAGACGTATCTGGTGTCACTTTTCATAGATTTTTAGTACATATTTATGCTCACTCACTCTTTCTTAAAAAAAGAGTGGTAGTAATTCACATCTTAGTAGCAGCTTGAAGCTAAGGTAATTTAGCCTGCAGTATCCAGGGGATCAGACAGGGGAACTATAATGTTTCTTCCTAGCCTTCAAATTGTTAAAAACTGATGTAACTGAATGCATGTTGTCAAAGCAGAGGAATATACTCTGCAAAAGTGGGGATATGCCAACAGCACAGAGAAACACACGCTTTGTGGAGTTTGGAGCTCTTTTCGAAGGATGTACGTTTTAATACTGCGTATTTACTTAACAGTGAAGTTACTGACAGTTTTCCTACTAGCCTTCCAAGAACCAGTATTTCAGAAAAAGACATTGCAGTCTGTCAAAGCAGCAGCTAACCCAGTTCAATATTTAACTGGTGAAAGCAAACACTGGCTGGCTCAGAAGTTCTTATCATAGTAAACTAGGCCATTCAACATTAATATTTGCCACCGGCTTTTCAAAATTTCGGTGCCTGAAATCCTATCTTGCTATTTTTATATTGTCAGAATCAGCACCAAATATACTAAGGTAATACTAAAGTTTGAATGTATCTTCTGCATCTTCTGGCTCTCCACACAAAAACTAATGAAATATAAACTACATTTTAACAGACATCACATTTTAACCAGACATTTCCTGCCATTAATGTAAAACAAGCAGGTGGGATTAGAAAAACATTTATTTGAAATTATTTTATGCTAGATACAGATACCAAAAGCATGAAAATAGAGCAAATGAATAAAAATCTGCCCTCTGAATTTTTGTACCCCTGTACACTTTCCCACTGTTAAGTAAACCACGTCTTACAATGAAAAATGCATGTTGATACTTGATGATTATGACTTGTGATTTTTTTAGTTTTATGTATCAACCACTGAAAATATTAGCTTTAATGAACTGTCGCCCAATGAGTTTTATTGTTTCTTTATCAACTTGGGTCAGGTTTGAAACACATAGGTTTTCAAAACCTGAGACCATGTTATTTTAATAAACATTTAAGTAAAATTTTGGCATGCCTTCAAACTAAAACACACACAAAAGGTAATCAGATGTTATTATTTTAGAATAAGTGCACAATTTGTATGAGATATATGACATCATAAGCTAATGTTCAAAGTAGGAAAAACCTTGAAAAAATATTTCTTCTTGTGTTGCTTACTTTGTAAAACATACATTTACACAATAAAGATTAATAGTCATAAAACTATACTGGTTTATTCATATCTATATTTACCAAGGACCTTTATCATTTGGAGACTATCAAGATATATTTTGATATGTAGTACCTAAGCATTCGTTTTGCTGCTGAACAGAAGAAAGCCATCACTAAATGTCGAGAGAAGGAGAAGGACTTGGGAGTGTTGGTCGATGAGAAGCTCAACATGAGCCAGTAATGTGCGCTCATAGCCCAGAAAGCAAACTACATCATGGGCAGCATCAAAAGAACTGTGGCCAGCAGGGTGATGGAGGTGATTCTGCCCCTCTACTCTGCTCTCTTGAGACCTTACCTTGAGTACTGTGTCCAGGTCTGGGGCCTCCAACATAAGGAGGACATGGAGCTGTTGGAGTTAGTCCAGAGGAGGGACACAAAAATGATCAAAGGACTGAAGCACCTCTCCTATGGGGACAGGCTGAGAGAGCTGGGATTGTTCAGCCTGGAGAAGAGAAGGCTCCGAGGAGAAGTTATAGCAGCCTTCCAGTAATTAAAGGGAGCCTACAGGAAAGATGGGGAGAGTCTCTTTAGCAGGCAGTTTCGAGATGGGATGAGGGGTGATGGTCTTAAACTGGAAGAGGGGAGATTTAGGCTGGATATTAGGAAGAAATTCTTCCTACTGTGAGGGTGGTGAGACACTGGCACAGGTTGCCCAGGGAAGCTGTGGATGCCCCCTCCCTGGCAGTGTTCAAGGCCAGGTTGGACAGGGCTTTGGGCAACCTGGTCTGGTGGAAGGTATCCCTGCCCACAGCAGGGGTTGGACTGGATGAGCTTTAAGGTCCTTTTCAACCTAAACCATTCCATGATTTTATGGTATACACAAACATAAAATTTAAATCCCTAAGGTTTCATTTAGGGACTTAATTTACCCTTATGGAATGGCTATTCTAATCCATTTTGGTGACAATAAAGCATTTAGAAACTATTATATATAAACTTATTTTAAGCTCCTTTACATTACCTCTTGTAATGGCCATGCTGATATAAAAGAAAGTCAAGTTTTGCCATTCTCATTTTATGTTGTTTTCACATGTGTTGTGCAACTTGGCCAGCTAAGAGCAAAAAGCAACTAAGAATCACCACAAAAGCTTCTGACAAACAAACAGCAATATGGTTACTCAGTTCCAAGATTAAAGCCAAGAGGTTTTTTTACATTAATTTAGAAACTTCCTAGTTTTTGTATGAAATCTCTACAGTTTTTTCCTGCAAAGCTATTGCATACAACCTCTGCTGACCAAGTATTGTCATACTTTACAAATAAATTTTTAACTTACATATTAATTTCAAAGATCCTTCAAAATATAACAGCTGATGTAAAAATCAGTGTGTGTCTGTTCTAATTCCTCAAAAGTATCAAGTTTTATATTCAGTAAGTCATATGGAATTTATGTTTTTTTCTCAGAAATGTTTACGAAAATCAATCACCTTTCCATTGCTGCTGATAATCGAAAGCCTCTTGCTTAGCAGATGCTCAAGACAAAATGATTTGTGCCAGAGACTTTTACCATCTGTTATAAAATAGGTGGTATATTGTAATTTGTGTTACAAGTGAGAAACCTTCTGAAAACTCAAAAGCTGCAATTTGGAGTATACTTCATGGTTTCTTGTCTTTGCTAAGCTGAGTCTATACCTCTCTCATTCCCACTCCATGAACTCACAGACTGAATCAAAACTTGGCAAGAGCTGCAAGCCCCTGCCTGCCACAAGAGCTGTGGTTTGGTAGGCAATATCCGGCCTCAGTGGTAGGATCTGGCATCCTAACAGGAGAAAACACTGACCCAAGCAGCGACAGGCTGAGGCCTGCTCTGTGTGAAACACCAGGCCCCACCCTTGGTCCTCCCTTCCCCCTGAGATGCAGGGACTGCTGTCCTTCCCCGTCACATCCTTGCAAGGTAGCAGCTCTCATCTCCAGCTTTGTTAGGAGTGTTAAGGGCTGCATTTTGCAAAATAGGACTGTGTGCCACTTGAGAGAAGCTGGTTGGGCCCTCTTGGCAGAGGTAAAACACAGCTTCTGTGCAAGAAAAATATGAACTGGAATGAAACTGAGCTAAAGGAAAGCTTCGGAGGTCTGGGTTTCAGTTTCATGAACGGTGTTTAAAGAAAGTGGAAATCAGCCCAATTTACTCTAAGTAGAAATCATTGAGAAAAAAATCTGTCTATGGTTTTAGTTTCAGAGGCTAGTCAATGGCCTAAGGGTGACTGAGTTGATTATGAGGAAGCAATTTAGACTGATAACAGTTTCCAGCCTCAGTCCCACTGAAAACCTTGTGAGCCAAAGTGAGGGCTTTAAATTAAGTAACAGTTTTCTAAAGGGAAAATCAGGAACACACTCTTCACTCAGATCTTTCAACTCCTCCATTAAATTTTGTGCTGAGGTTCCTATAGTATACCCTACTGCTTTCTGCAGCAGTTTTTAATAAAAGTTGGTTTTTAAATTAAAACTCTTTGTTCTCCTACTTAGCTAATATTATTAAAATGACGTTTTGTACTCAGAACCAAAAAAAATCACAAAAGGACAAAGTATGTGGGGAGTCACTGAGTGGTGTGTTAAAAGGCCCACAGTTCTGCATTTTGGTGAATCAGCAGCAAATTTTCTCTATTTTGTAGTTAGTTCTGCTTCAGCAACCAAAGGAGATAGATAAAAACTGACAGTAACCAGTTCAGCTTTCAAAATTTGAAGCAATAAAAGGAATTGCGCAAAGCTGTGCTCCAGGCTGGCTGTCGTACTTGGATACCAATGAAGAAAGACACAAACTCTACCAACTCTCTTCATAAATTAACTCAATACAATGTGTGATACAATAGTATGATCAGATTCCCTCTTATACCAAAGCATGGCAGCTCCTTTAGTCTCTGGGCCAAACCACACAGTCAGAGTTATCATTAAACTCTCTCAGCCTCCAGAGCAGGATGTCTGCTTGCAAAACTGTTTGTTGGGACTGATCCCTGGCTTGTGCTGCCGTTCAAGTAGTACTCAAGAAAAGTCTGGGAGGTAGTTCCTTGCCATGGGGTAAAGGTATTCTCAGGACCATTCTGCTAATGTAGTTGTATAACCTGTCCAACTTGGTAACACAACACTATAATCCAGCAGTTCCCACAGACAGAAACTCCTGTTGCTGTGAAATTCACTAG